AGCTCTGGCTGCAGTGACATGGCTGTTTTGCACTAGCTGGAAGAAATGCCTTTTGCCATGTAGACACAGACTCTGAAGACAAAGGTGTCCCCAAAACATTTTCTCTCTTTGTTCCTTATCCTATCCCAGCTACTTGGAGTCTGTGAGACGGAATTTTTTCCAGCTTTTCCTTTACTAAGCTTCTGCTGCTGATAACAATAACACCATTTTTATATAATAGCTTATATCCAGGTCTAGGGTGGCTAATTTAAGCATCCACCTCTAGGGCACCTGGTTTGTATCCCCACACCTGAGCAACACAGTCCTGCTAAATGATGTAACGTGCTTGCCTCTTCTCTCAGTGGAGAGGCTCACGTGCCTTGGAGAGCTCCAGAAGACAAACCAAGCACCCAAGGCATGTTCAGTCTGTACAGACTGAACAAGGAGTCATTGTAAATGCTGTGTGACTCTTTCCCTACTGAAACCCAGGTCATCTTTGGTTCTTCCAAGAAGAGGACCCACATTCAGAAAGATAGGTATTTTTGCACAGCAATGGAATTGTAAGAACATGTGCAGCATGAAGACTCTATTCATGCTAAAACATTTGTGAAAGCAGCCCCTATTTCATCATAATGATCCTGATAAAAAGAGAAGGTTTAAAAGAACAGATTAAAGTGCCAGTTGTCCTTTCTAGCTTGCCTACACTAGCAACCACACCATGATAATTTCTGCAGGGGATAGAACAGCATTAGCACTGTAAAGGAAATGTAAAATTTCTTCAGAAGCGATGATTTTAATTACAGTCAGTGGAATGGGGAAGAGGGCAGAGTAAGAAATAAAAATACAAAGAGAGTATAAATAGCATTGCCTCTTAGGACAGTACTATTTATCTTACTCTGGGTATAAAGTTGCTTTATTTTCTTAACTTCCTGCTTTGGAAAGCAGCCACTAAATTGAAAGGAAATGTGGTTTTGTAATGCAAGAAAGATTTTTTTCTCTCTAAATTATAAAGCTGGAGAACCCAAAGCAATGACTAATTTAAAAACCGAATTGGAGAAAGATTTAGCTGATTCAAAAATATTTTAAAGAAAAGGGAAAAGAGAAATAAGGAAGGAATTTCTTTCCAAATAGAAAGAATTCAAATTAATAATGATTATAAGGAACAGTTTCCCTCTCTCACATATTTAGTTTTTTGTCTGGTTTTGCCTTTTTCACATTAATCAGCAAAGCTATCAGTGAGGCAAATAACACTGAAACAGATGTCTACTCACAATGTAAAGTGCTACTCATTTTCAGTAAGGATCTCATAATTCCCTATACAGATACCTATGAAATTAAGCAAAAGAAGAAAACAGATTTTGAAATCAATTCCTTTAATAAACCTGTGATTAATGAATGAGTGTATGATACGTTTGTTTAAACACACAGCCCTGTTGTGGTTGTAGTCACCACAGGATAGCCCAGTGGGTCCCTGGCTTCCATGCCAGAAGCAAATTCCCCATGGACCCTGGGCTGTGTTTCCCAGCACCAAGTGGGCATGTTTGGTGCCTCAGGGCACCTCAAATAGGTCCAAATACCTTTATTTGAAACTGGACCTCTCCACAGGGTCATCATTCCCCATCCTTATTTTTGAAAGCACTTCTTAACTTTTCTCTTGAAACCCAGTACTTTATTTGTACCTCAGGCCCATTCAGCACACAATATTCTAGTGTTATGATAGCACAAATAACAGCTGTGTCCCTGCTGATAAATCAAAAGCCATTTGACACTGATTGGTTTGGGCCCTCCTGAGGAAATTTGTCTTGGAGACAGGTAGTTGGAGCAGTCCAAAGCACAGTCAAAGAGGTAGTCATTTAACAGGGTTGAACCATCACAGGTCCTGCACTCAAACTCCCTCCCTAACCTGTCCACTTGAGCAGAGTAAGCACACACACACACACACACACACGCACACACACACAAAGATCCAAAGACTTCAAAACTAGCGTGAAGCTTCATGAAGTCCTACTGCAGTACCAGCTTCCATAATAAAATTCTGATCTGTCATGATGGTGAAGTTCTAAAGATCCATAGAGCTCCACAGATCTCTAAAATCTGATTGTCATGAAGGAAGGGATGTTTCCTCTCTGAAAGGCAGACTTCAGCAAAGAGGAAGAAGGAAGGGAGAAGGACAAGTCTGCTGAAGGGATATCCAGCCCTGCCATCCATCCATAATTTAGTACGTACTGAACACACCCCCCCAAGATGCCTGTCTCTCGTCAATCAGTAACTGTAAACCTGAACCTGACTTTTGGATGTATAAAACAGGTACGAGAGTTCCCACATGTAACTAAACTTGTCTATTGATGAAATTGCCTGAAATGTTTAGATCAGATGAGTCTGACAGAAGCAAATATTCCTGTGGATCTGGGCCTGTGTGGAGCTGCACTGGGTGAGGAGTGGCCAGGGCTGACCCATGCTCAATGCAGATGGCTCCAGACAGCTCCAACCAACCAACAAGAGGGCACAGCTGAGCCCTGTGTAATGAAAGTGGTGGCACCTCATGGGAAACATATTTAAGAATGGGGGGAAAACCACAGAACTCCAGAGAGCAAAGAAGGAAGTTAAAGGAGTGAGAAACAACAGAGGAGGGAAGGACAAGGTCAGAGGAGGGGAAGACACCCCCAGAGATTTCCCTGCAGTTCACTCCCCAAGGAGAACATGGCATGGAAGGTATTTCCCTGCAACATGCTTGAGCAGGCTCCTGAAAGGAACTGCAGCCCTTGGCAAAGACCCATGCTGGATCAAGAAAAAAGTCTGAGGAGTAAAGAATGACAGAAAGGAGCTGCCCCCCATCCCCTTGTAAAACTCCCGGGAAAGGAGGTAGAGGAACTGGGAACTGAGGAGTGAAACTGAACTGGGGGGGAGGGGGGAATGTGTATTAGTTTCAGTCTTTCTCACCATTCTATTATTTCAAACTGGCAATAAATAAAATTAATTTTCTCCGTGCTGAGTCTGTTTTGTGCATACAAGTAACTGGTGAGTGATCTCCTGCCCTTATTTGAGACCATGAACTTTTCCATCTTATCTTCTCCCCATGTCCTGTTGAGGATGGGGAGTAAGAGAGAGGCTGGGTCTGTGTCTGGTAGGTCAGCCTACCACAGGAAGTGTTCCTATCTGTCATAAAACATAACTAATTCAGAGTCTTTCAAATACCCACTGATCTAGCAGCAGAAAACCAATGTAAAAACCCCTGTAAGGACATAGATGGAATTCACATGTGCAATGCTGATTATAAAGTGATGGGAATACAGTGCCAGGAGGTGGAGCAATCAGGACTTGCATCAGTCCACACCAAAATGCTGGCCTAAACTATTAAAGTAACTCTTATTTAACCCCAAAAATTTTCTGTAGTTTTAGGAAGAGAACATTATAACCTACTTTCCTCAATATGCTGTTGCTCATCCTCATTTTCATTAGGCCCATTCATGATTGCAAGATAAATAGAAATGCCATAAATAGAACTGTGTTGGCATAAACATAATTTCTGTACTTGGCACTTGACTTAGGTAAACAACCATGCACTTCCAGTGAGCTTTAAGTTTGGAGCCTCATCATTTCACACTGTCAATGGTGTCTTCTACAGTTAAGCAGTTTAAATCTGAGGCAGAACTGAATTAACTGCTGGGGTTGTCTGCTTTCCTCCTCTGATTACAGAATGAGCTTTGCATAAGATTGCTCCTCTGGTGCTCAGGGTGGGAAGTCAGATCAGGATTTCAGCCTCACTGTGCTCTTGGGGCACACCCAGGGCCTCACAGGCCAAGCAGGTCCCCAGCACACCACCACTCTGCATGGCAGCAGAATAAGCTGGCTCTCACACTGTTGACATGGACAGTGGTGAACCACAACACTCCAGATGACAGCAGGATTTAACCTCTGGGACGTGCAGGAGCACTGCCTCTGGAGCAGGCAGTGCTCCTGGAGTGGGCAGTTTTTCCTCCCACTGGAATACCAGGAGCCAAGACTTGTACCTTTCATAGAAGTAAGAGTTCAGTCACAAGACAGCAATTTCTTGCTGCCGGGAACAGGAGACATATGTCGTCCTCACAGCCTGTCAGTGGCTGTGGCATTGCGTTCTCCAGGGTTTTCCTCCAGTTTGGCCAGTGACATTAATTTGAAGTTATGGATATTAACATAAAAGTAATTTAAATAATGGCATCTCTGAATTTGGCTTTCAGATGTTACGGTTTGCTGAAATAGCAGAACGCACAAAGGTTCACGCGTGTAATCCCACACAACTTTCTCCTAGGAAAAGAAAAAAACACAAACAGTTTTAAAGAATAATAAGGATGTAATTCAGCTTCTAAGAGTTGGTTATTTATCATGACTGAGACTTCTATGCTTTAGCTGAATCCATGTGGACATGCCTGGGACTGCCAATAAATTCAGTGTGTCTGGGTAGTCTGTGTAGAGTGTCTTGTCTGTGTACAATCTGCTGCAGAACTGGGGACGTGAACAAGAACCAATATTTATTTGCAAAAAAAAAAAAAAAAATTTCTTCCACTAAAAAACAGTTACCCAAAGTTCAAACAATGCATTTGTGATTTTTACCTTGTTGTGTAATGCAAGTTTGTGAATTAAGTTCTTCCATAAAGTTTGCAGACTGCTTCAGTGGCAGTGCTGTTCCAAGTGAAGCATGCAATGAATAGTTAATCATTAATTCTTCATGGTTCATATTTGCTGCCTGCTTTACTGCATATAGTTTGATATAGTTCCTTGCAATAGATTTAATGCTTTCATTAGGAGTCACATGCTGGATCTTTATCTGAACTATTATCACAGCCCAGACATAGCATTACAGCCTTCCTTTGTAAGCCAAAGTTACGGAGTTCAGAAAGGCTTAAACCTTAATAAATACTATGGGTTTTATGGTAATGGAACAGCTGCAGTGGCAGACTGACACACACACCCCGACTGAGCCTGCCTAGTTGCTGTAAACAGGTGCACCTAAAGGCTAAAGCTCTTATTTTTTTTTTTTTTGTCCATGACACTAATTTCATTGTCAAAGTCTAGCTTGACAATTGTGTGTGTGTTAGGATAATGTAAAGGAATCCAGACACATGTGGTGAACAAAATTACTGGCTCTTGCAAAGGGGGCGATTTTTAAAATTGAAATTGCAGCTATCATTGTACAGATAAAACAGCCAGGCACTTGTAACCAAAAATAAAAAAAATCTCTTGTTATTATTGGAAATAATAGGCTGTATGATATGGGGAAACTACCCTCAGAATAGCAAAAGTCACCACAAAGTGGAGTGAATTATGGTACACAATGTTCATTTTAGGTACATTCCAGGAAGTTCTAAACCTTTACTTGTAAATTTTCAGGCATAGCCTGGGATCAGTTTCATATGTGCTTTGGAAAACTAGCTTCTCACTGTGATAAAGTGCACAAGTGGGAAGGCAGAAGCATTTGAAAACTTCAGCTCAAGTGCCTTAGATCAGATCACTAGGCCTGTGGCTAACCTGCTCAACCAGACTAGAAACACTTTTCTCCTTCTCACTGCACATTAATCTGCCTTCTTCTTGCAAGATAATCACCACAGTCAGGATCAATGGTAAATAATTGCATTGGCTTTCCCATTTGTTGATACCTTCCACAGGGGATGCAGTAAATTTAATTTATATCAGATGACTCACCTCTCACACAAAAGTTTTTTTTCCTTCCAGCCACTTTTGGAGAGTCTGCTTAACAGGATGTGATGTCCCAAAAAGGACAAATGAAATCTAAATAGGTTACTGTGGATCAAAATACTCTTTGCATCGATAAACACTTTCTCTAGGCTAATATCTCAACTGAGAAGCAAATTATTAGTCTGGGTAAAGTCCTGTATTAATACAGCCATAATGCTTCCCATAACCCATCAAGAATATCCAGAGTGGCTTCCAGTATGTGAACTGTGCCACAGACATGTATCCTCAGCCCATGGCTTTTAAATGGGCAAGTTTCCCTTGTTTCAGGTAAAAAAGGACTTTTCCTCATCAATGTGAAAGATCCCATAAAATACAAGAGAGATGAAGCTAATATAGGTGTAGAGAAATATTCTGTGGAAATTAATTTAGAAATAAATCCTTTCTGAAAATCTGTAAGCCATCCAGTAAAATTCAATACAGACTACATCTCTGCTTTGGAAATTGATGAATTGATTGAAAGGTGGAGGTTTGCTTTAAATTCCAGGTTCCCTTCTTGTGGCTGGAAATTGTGTAGAAACAGAGGCATGTCTTTTTAGAATTCATATTCTCCCAGCCAGACACTGATCCCGGTTTCCAACAGCAGTTTTTGTCACCCCTCTTTTACAGTGCATTTCTTGGCATTTCAATTGGCAGCTGTGACCTGAGCATTTATGGAGATGTCACAATCAGGCTTCCTCTGCTTGATAGCTGGGAAAGTCATCTCTACTTGCCTTCAAGAAATCAAACTTTCCAGACAATTTTGCCATAATGAGACAAGCTATGGAATTGTTATGTCTCAAAACTGATTTAGAGATATTTCTACCGGAATGCTCCTAATAATTTTCAAGCAGAGGTTTTTCACATAAAGGTCAGTGGAGGGTGTCCAGTTGGGTTTGAATTTCCTTGTGTTTAAGCCCAAAAAGTTCCACACATTTTTTAGAAATTAGTCTATCAAATAGTGGCTGTCAGTTTTGATAAAAGTTAGTTTCCACATGTGCTTAGTATAGGATCCAAAACAGGAAGCACAGCATCCAATGAAGTAGATGACAAAGTGCCAGCAGCAGATATCTGGAATATGTGTTGCTCAAAGAGAAAAGATATTTTGCCATTGGGCAATAGCTCAAAAAAATCAGCTGTAATTGTCTCCTTTCACTTGGTACTCCTAAATTCTGATATTTGAATTGTTCTGAGAGCTTTCTCTACACCCCTTGAAATTACTGAAGGAAAGTTCATGCGATTAATTTCTTCTGCCAGTTTGTCAATGAATGATGAACATAGTTTTGCTTTAACACTTCTTCAGTGTACACTGCAGATTTACTAATTCAGTCTATGTTGAAACTTGGGGGTATTTGGGACAAATTTTAAAAACATATATGCTTATTTATCAAACTTTAAATGCTTTTGCCTTCCCCATAACCCCTTTCTCAAGATTACAATTTTTGTGACATCTTCTGAGATTGATAAGGCCCAGCAACTTTCAATGCTTATCTAATGTTGTATGTGTCTTAAGGTCAGTCACCTGCTCTCTTCCTTATGGAAATCAACATTTTGATTAACATCACACAAGAATGCTCTGGAAACACTTGGCCCTCCTGTGACTTTCTTTCATCAATGTTGTAAAAGATTTGTCTGGTACTTTCCATTTCCAGTCATGACAAATTAAACTATGTTAATACATTAGCATGTATACATTGTAGGTATTTTTTGTTATCATAATTATTGCTTAGGTATAACAGGGACAAAAGTCCTAGACATAGAAGTGACAAGGAAAGTGAGGAGCCCAGTTATGGGTTTTGTAGATCCCAAGAGATTTGGTTGTTTGCAGAGAACATGTCCACACAAATGGAGAAACCAGAATGCAGCTACTTATCACCACTTTTCTGCTGTTTGTTTTTTAAGTTAGAGGGCCTGAATTTGACCACATTCAGTTCCTTCTTTTATGTTACCAATGTTTTTATCTTCACTGTTCTCTTGTCTCAAGAGAATTTGCATTTCAGTAAGGATCCATTGTTGGTATTCTCTGCTACTTCCAGTATTTCCCTAATTTTGTTCCACTTTCCCCTGCTTCTTTTATAGTTCTCATCCAGATCTTTTGTATCCAAGCCTGTTAAACCTGTCTACAGCTATGACAGCATAGCACTAAAAAGAATATAACACGTAAACAAATCTGTTTCCCAGAAATTACTGTATTTCTTTTGGCTGCTCTGTGGCATGACAAACCTAGTTCTACTGGTACCACCTAAAGTGAAGGGTTACTGTATTTGCTTTTCCTGCAGCCAATGTAAACCAGAAGCAAATTAGAACTGTTAGCCACGCTAATGGAATTGGCAATACTTACCCACAGTAGCAATGGGAAAGGCAAGTGCAATTTGTGATAATGCACGTGACTCAGTTCTGCTACAAATCAAGATGTGATTCACCAACTTTGGAGTCATGAAACTGGCAGCAATATAGCCTGGTCAAGGGAAAAACTCCCAAGGAGAGATTATATTACACAGTAAGATTTAGTTCTGAGGCTGGCTTTTATAAATTGCTTTTTTATTTTCCCTCAGTTCCTGCAGGAAGACTGCCTGGCTGCAAGATAAAGAAAAGAATAATAAGAACATTTATCTCAATTACCCAGAACTACCAGAAAAGTTCCCATTGATTTCCAGGCTGGATTTTCATCTCTCTTTGAGAAGTCAAGCAGACTGTTCAGAGATTCAGCTACTAGATCTAAATTATTACCACAGAAACAGGGACCATTTGAAATAAATGGAACACCAGTCTGTATCACCTTAGCTATAAAAGAGGCTGAATTTCAAAGAAAGAAACACAAATAATGATGTATTTTCTTGGGCTGTGTTAGGATGCAGTTGGGACCTTTTCCCTTTCAGCCTCCTGGTTCCCCCTGGAGCTTAGAGACCACTTGTTCCAAGGAGCTTCTGGGGCTGAATGACTGGAAGGTGGATTTTCTTCTGAAACAAAACCAAAAGGCATGGAGGATGCCATCACTCCAGAGTCAGAAAAGGCTTGCTATTGTTGTAATTTAGGCTTTTTTTGTGTAATTTTTTGCTTCCCATAGAAGAGTGATTCTAGATAAATATTATTTTCTTGCTTAGCGCTTGTAGTTTTTTTGGGGGAGGGGGAGGTTGATGATTTGTCCTCATGCTTTCATTTTTAAATCTACTTTTAAAAGGTTCAGTGGAATAGTTCTTTTTCTAACAGACAAGGAGTAAGAAACAAACCTGGTGAGAGGTTTTCCCCTGACTCTCATTTACACTGAGCTGTTTTGAATTATCTGACTCATGTAACAATGTCTAGGCCTGTGCAAACACTTGTTTTCTAAGGCACAAAATATTGCCATATAGCAGTTAGTTTTGCACCTTGAAACAAGTATGTATTTTGTCATGATTTTAAATGTAATGAAGCCTTCATGTTTATAAAAAATATTTGGATTATTTCTGGTCTGTGATGAAGGCTTAGAGGGGAATCCATTGGATCACCTTTCTTCACTTTCAGCTCCCTGCTGTCCACTGGGAGAGAGCCTGCATGATACAGGATAGCCTCTGCTGTAAATATAACAAGTAACAAACTGTGATCCCCCACTTCTTCGTTTCTCACTGAGAAAGATGCAACCTCGGGTATATTTGACATCCAGAGATGTACTGCTGGGAGACAGCGTGGCTCCAGCGATGTTCACGGCTATGTGTTTTTTGCAGTTCTTTATGAATTTTCAAGGGAGAAATTCCACATTCTGGATGAGGAAGATGAGATAGCTATATTGTTTGAACAAAAATAACTTCTGAGTTTCTTAAAAATGAAAATATCTTTCAAAACAGACATGGATGTTTCATTAAAATATAAACCTAATTTTTAAAGTGTATTAAAAGTGTTAACACAGTGCCTGCTGCCAGAAGAGCCCACTGCAGTGCTGTTGAAGGAAGGAGGACAGCATCGTTATTTATGAGCGTCTGCACTCTCTCAGCCTTTCATGAAACCCTAATTTTATCTGGCAGCTCTTAAGAATCTCTGAGAAACTAGGTCCTTTGTTACCACTGCATCCATCTAACTTCTGCACCTAAAAAGACATGGGCACTTCTTTCATAAATAAAGAAGTACAAACATTCTGACATTAATGTCACACTACTGTTTTAGGCCCTAAACTTTCAAGCTCCTCTCTGGGCAAGCACCAACAAATACTCCTTTTTTCTCGACTTCCAGTTCTGGATTTTACAATAGTTTTGGTGAAAACAGAATCAGGCCTCAGTCATCTGTTTTCATCGTTGGGGGGGGAGGGGGGGGAAACAGTACAAAACAAAACAAACAAAACCCCTTTATTACTCTATGACAGGAGTAGCACTAAGCCCAAGGGGGTTATTTTTCTTCCATTAACTTTTGTTAACCTCATCCCTCCCTCTTTTTTTTTTTTCTTCAGATGTACTCCCGAACAGTTCATGCATATGTGTGCATGTGACTGTGTGTCTGTGTGTGCATGTGTGTGTACGTGCACATTTATCCTTGTAATGAAAAGGAATCTATCTGTTCAGATAATTTGCTGTTGTTTGCAATGTGATACAGCCAGTCTTTTTGACTTCAGTGTGAATAAACAGTCTGATCCTGTAAAATAGGCCTTTTCTCTCCCGAGAGCTTGTTCCAAGACTGCGGAACCCAGGCCAGCAAAGAACATCTGCAACAGTTAGTGGAAACCCTAAAAATTCTTGTGAATAAATAGATTGGAAGCTAAGCTGGAAATTTCTCAGTGAGATATAAATTTTAAAAAATGAAATCCAGTTGAAGTACCCAGATTCCCTGGGAGAATACAAGTCTAGCCAACCCAAGTCTAAATACATGTGGTAGTGATCACTGTATGCTGTTTCCAGTTTATCAAAAAAAAAAAAATCATAGCAAAATTATTGTCATTCAAATTTAGCTGTTAATAAAGAAATGTTATAAACCTCCTTTATAATGAAGATGCTTGCTAAAACATTTTTAATATTTTTTTTTTTAAAACTTCCTCTTTTTTTTTTTTTTGCTGATATCAGAGATCTTAAGTAAACATTACATTTATCAGTAAAGGCCACCAATAAAGAACAATACAGATCAGGTAGATTTAAGGGCTGTAATTCAAGTTTTACATTGGCCTGCTTTTAAAAATATTTAGGGTGGTAACTCTTTGCTGATCAGACTCAGTGAAAAATTGTTTAAAGGCCAAGATCACTTAACTCTTTAGACTTTCACTTTTATGCTCTGTCTTTCCTTAGAGGTGCCTTCTTCATTTCATTTGCATGCTGACTCTCACAGTTAAGTTAGAGGCTGCCTTCTATTGTGTTGATGTTTACTTCTGGCAGAGTGTTATGAAGCAAAACATTTGAGTTATAGAGATTATAAGTTAACATATATGAGTTACCAGCTTTGTGGGAAATACTTCACCCTTATAAAAAAAAAAAAAAAAAGGCAATATTGTTTGGCTTGATTTAGTATAGCTCTGGTGCGTTGAATAAATTATTTGCAGCTGGCTTAGCCCTGCACATGCTCTGGGGGTGAGGAACACATGCATGTTATCAATTCATTATTTATGCTGCAGTTCGTTACCACTTATGTGCTGGACAGCGACATCACTGTCTATTCTACATCTGAGGGTATAGCAGTAATGGCAAGAGATATCAAGCTGTTGGGAAGAAAGCAAAAGCTAGACTGTGGTTGGATTAACATCTGATTGCCTAAGCAGTAGAGCTTTGAAAGCATGGGAAAATTTGCCTAGTGAGCATGCTGGATTTTTTTAAAAAACATAAAGCCTGCCAAGATCTCAAAGCTAGGGGGGAAAAAAAGAGTTTGTGGAGACCTTTAATTGAAGTAAATAGAGAAGTCTCCCCTCCTTCTTCTGACAAAAATATAAATATGCTATCTTGACTCTATGCTCAAATTGGTTATTTTTCTCTACCCCCCATAAAAAGATAAGGAAGAAATTTTCACAAATGTTTTTTAGTGTTCCAGTCCCTATATACCTTTCTATTTTTTTTTTTCACCTGTTAGGGTGAAGAGGAGAAAGTCTGTTCAAGAGAATACTGGCCCAGATTGTTCCAGAAGACAGTGTTTCTCATAAATATGTGCCTGTACCAAGTGTTTACTTGTTGTTGTCAATTTAGTCTGCTTTGGAGTCAATAGGAAGTTTTCCCCCACTCTTTGCTGTATGGATACAGGCTGCTGAAGTGACTGAACTAAGGATGCCCTCTACTGAGAAAAAAAGGATAGGAGTCTAACTAGGAGAGCTACAGAGAATCTTCACCAGGTAGAACAAGTAATAAAAGACTTCTTGTTTTCAGGTGTAGAGAACATTAAAGTTTATTTCATTTTTCAACTTGAGAACAGTTCTGATGAGCATGTGGACAGACTTGGCTACAGAATTACAAATTATAGTGAAACCAGCAAGTTAAACTGGGTCAGGGAACGTTCCTGAGCAATTTGTCTTGAACATCAGTGTTGTTCAAATGCTGGAAGGGACTCCACACATCTTTGGACGATATCAATTAGCAGTTTCCTGAATAAATTGTAGGCATGACTTGGCAGTTGGCACAGGCCAATGTCCATCTTGAGTGGGGTGGAGTTGGCTGCCTCATCTTGGGTGGCCAAGGCACCTAAATACTCTAAATACACATTGCTCTATACTAGCTGGAGTCATGTCAGAAAATGAGCCTTGGCAGATCTAAATTATCAGTCCAGATGAAGCCTTAGAAAACAGTGATACAGGGAGCTCTATAAGATCAGTTTCTTCTTGCAGATGGGGTAGATTATGCAGGGCAAATGCTTGGTGGTCCTGACAGAGGTTTGTCCGTCCAGTTGTCAAAAACCTCTATGGACAGAGATCACACAATCACCACTAGATGCTCATTTAATTGATAATCATACTTGGTTTCATTCAAATCTAACCTAAATACACCCTACAGCCACACAAGGCAGCTATTTTCGTATCCCAATGGACTAAGACTATGTTTCTTTTCTCTTTGTAGTTACCATTCAAAGATTTGAGATGACAATTCAAAGTTGCAATGTTTTATTCTTAAAGATACTCAATTATTTTAAAGTTTCTTGTGAGTCATGGTTGGCAGATCCCTGACATCACACACTGATATGAAGTATTTAAGTCAACATATTGACAACTAACAGAGCATAAGAAAACTCAGCCAGTAAACTGAATTTTCATCCTCTGTTTTCAATGCACAGACATACCCAGCTCCTGAGGCTGAATCATCTCATGCAAAAACAGCTGACTGAGGTATGATGAGTATGTTCTGAATATACTGATTTCTTACCACTGACAAAATCAGTCCAGGTTTACTAATTCCTAATGAAAGATTTACAGAGAAGTTGCTAAAACAAGAGCTGAAGAAAGAGAGGTGATCTATTATTGTTAGTGCCAAAATGTCCATCAGCAAATCCTGAATTCTTGAAAACCACAACACCTGTGGTACATTCCTGTAATAGCCACCACAGGCCCAAACAGAGACCAACAGCTTCCTGGAAATATGACTAATTTTATTCTTGCTTATATACTTTTGTGATCAATATTTTTTTTGCAATCAGCTCGCACATGGGCTCCAGATATTTATGGGAAAGCAGGAAATGCTGTGCATGATAGACAGGAGGATGTGCTCATCACAATATTTTTGTTCAGAGGATCTCCTGAGGGTGAAACAAGCATTCTTATAGGATGTGGTCTATGGTCTTCATCTTATACACAGAGTGAATACAAAGTGTAAAGACACTACTGACCTTTTATGAATGCACACTCAGAGTGACTGGCTTCATTGAGCCCATTCTCAAAGAAGTATCCAAAACACATCCTCCAACATTTTATCCTCTCTTAGCTATAAATAGGAGACAGATATAATTAGTCTTTCTAGAAGGTCTCTTCTTGGAGTCTGAATATCTTCTACAGTAATAAGGAAAACATTTGTAATAGAAAAAAACCCATTTATTTCTTCACCAGAAGGAATGCAATACTGGGAAAATTATTTTTTAAATTATGTTGCATATTAACACACGTATTATTTACCAAGTTTTCTCCACTCTTTCAAAAGGAAGCCCTCCTTTACTCCCAATTTCTCTGTCAAAAGTGGCCTCTCTCTTTAACGTGTGAGAAGGGAGCCCAACAGTGCTTTTTCTTTGACACGATCTGGGCACTCTTCTGAATCCCCTCCCTTTTCAAGGGTCTTTGAGGTTTTTTCCATGTCTTTTGATCCCAGAAAGGATGGAGCCAGACAGGCAAATGCTTCCCATCACTTGGTGTCCTAGCCATTGTTATCTGAACTCCTTTGAAGCTGAGAACCTGATGCTCTTATCTGTGCCATTGTCTCACCTTTCCTGTTAACTTCTGCAGCCTTTCCTATTAGAGTTTTCCTTGCCTTCACAAAGCACTCAGACAGGCACCAGAGAAACCAAAAACACACAGAGCCCCTGAAAGATTGCACACTTTTCCAGAATTGCCACAGAGGAAATTTCAGGGCGTTGACTTTCTAGAGAGTCTGTACAAAATATTGCAAGAAAATGATTTCTTGGTGACTGTAACTAATTACATGGTGCATGTTGGATGGCATTCCCTGATTTCACCATATGCCTGGAAGCTCCAACACAATGGCATGAGACTGCTGGTCCCCAGAGGCTGAGGCATCCTCCCACTAGGGCCAATGGTGATAAGGAGTCCTTAGATAAAGCTCAGGTATTTATAATTCTTTCTGTGGAAGGATATTCTGTAATAAAGACTGAATTGAAATCAATGCTGTGTTGTGACTTCTACAGTGCAGATTTTTCTGTACTGACATTCTCACCGTGTGATGCACAAATCTTTAGACCTGGTGATGCAGCAAGGATTAAGACTTAAGTATATATTTCGGACAGATGAGTTTTAAGTTACATAATGAAGTGCTGAATTAGAGATTAGTGTCCTTTGAATCTCCCTAAAATCAGTGGAGAAAACTAGAGAGGCTCTCCAAAATACTGTCTAGAAAATCTCTCTCTCTCAAGTAGTATTTTATTGTAATGTTAATACAAAAAAGTACAGGTATGGCATTATTTAAGGCAGTGTTAATATCTGTTACTGATGTAGACAAGCCTTTAAGTATAGAAACATTTCTTAAGACTGGAAAGAGAAGCAACAAATGCTTTGACATCTGGAATTGAAAATGAACAGTATATCCCTGTTAACACTTTTGGTGTGCAAAAGAGGGAGTTATCAATATGAATTGTTCTGAAAAGGAAGACATCCTTAGGAAAATATATTGTCATAAAAGAGAAGAAGAACTTGTTTTAATTGCTGGATAGTTTTTTTTTTTTTGTCTTAATGGCTTTCAGTTTTCTTTTAATGGCTTCACATAATAACTAAAAAAGGATTTCCTAGTAACTTTTTGTACTACTAGCATTTTCCTAGTGAAAGCTGCAATCTCAGCTTTTTCTGGTTAGGACTGGAACATACACAGAGAAATAAAATCTCAGAAAAGAACCATATGAATATTCATATTTTTGTTTAGTAGAATAATAAAAAAAAACAGAGAATTGAAAAGTGAGAACAGTTCCAAAAGAAATAAGTAATCAAGTTAAGACTTTTTTTTTTTTTTTTTGGTAAAATAACAACCAGGATTTTGAAAACAGATTTTTGGATTAACATAAAACATTTCAATTCCAAATGAAAGGTATTTTGATGGTTTAAATAATTTTAAATCCTTTTTTTCTATCTTTGTCTTTTGGTTTGTTTAATTTAAGGCTTTGCTTAAATTAAAATATTGCTTCAAAATGAAAAATTAAAATATAAGTGTAGATATACCCAAAAATCCATAGGTAAATTCATCCCACAGATTAACATTACAACAATATATTGTGGGATTGTTTATCTTCTTTACATGTAGTCTGTTTTAAACTCCAAGGTCAGAAGTCTTTTGCCATATTTGTGAGACAGAAATGGACTTTCATTCTATGTTTCTAGAAAACCCTGCCTTAAAAAAATCCTATTGTATGTGTAGGACTCTGAATTACAACCATACATGTGCCTTGACACAAGTCTGTTAATGGAGCTCTTTTGGATGGAGACAGGTGATTGATCAAAAGTGAAACATTTTGCAGAAATTGTATGACACTGACAAAGTTGTGAAGAAGCAGACACGGATTTCAGAACCTGCTGACTGTGAAAGTTTGCACCCAAAATTTGTCTGTTCCTCTCTTTTCGCTTGCCTAAGGTACCAAGTGGATTGCTGAGAAGCTGAGCCTGAAGGCTGCCAGCCTTTTGCCAGCACACATGGTAGATAAATGAACAACACTGTGAAACACATTATTGTCAGAGACTGGTGCCTATGCCCGGTGCCACAGGCTACAAATGCTGTGATCAGTGTGCACCCAGAAATGCTATTGAGCTTTAGCCTCTCTGCAGAAGGCCATGTTCACTTTCCATATGTCACTAAGTTACTTCTGAGCACCTTGTGTTAGCATAGATCCCTAAAACGCTACATGCTAAACGCACTCTGACCAATAAGCCCAGAAAATCCTTGGCACTTTAAAGAAAAGCTAGGATTGCAGTGCACAGCATTACTTTGCAAAACTGTCCAAATGCCAGCAGGACTTCCATTGTTTAGACAAGAAGGATGGCAACAAAAGGACTACCTTAAATGACCTCTCTTAAGTAGAGTATTTGCTTATGTCACAGAACATCAGTAGATCTTGAGAGCCAGGGGAATATCATTAATTTTAAACTGAACAGATACACAGGCTAATACAAGGTCAGAAACAACAGCACTAATGCTGTAAGCAATATCCAGGCTAAAGAAATGAAAACTAAAAGTCAGACATGCTTCAAAGCTGGCTTTATACCCATAAGGAGAATGTATACAATGGATGTGAGCAATATATTTGGAGATCAATATCATTCGTTACACTATGAGAGAAAGCTCTCCCCTGTTCAGTGTTAAACTAAAATCCCAACAGCATATGATCAAACCTGAATTTTTAGATTACTTATTGCAAAGTTGCCTTTGTGTAAAATCAGAGGATGATTAATTTCATTTCAAATCAGACCCCAGGTAAAGACCAAAAAAATGGGCCGTTGTAGAGAGGAAAGATTGATGTATTCACTTGTATAGACACAGAACAACCCACAAATGTAAAAAAAGATAATATGATCTCCACAAAGTAAAATTTTTGAGACACATCATTGATGTAAAATATTTTTCTGTCCTCAGAGACATCACAGCATGTTTGTCTATATTACATGTTATCTTTTGGAAAAATAAGCCACCATCTGGGTTGTATCTGGTAACAAGTTTTTTGTACTGAAAATAAAGTAAACATTGTGATGGTTAAGACAACTGCCAAGATCTAAGTAAATAGTCTTTTTTTTCCTGAGGAAAGACAATTGAGGACCATAACCAGGGAATCTGAAGAGTTTTGGAAGGAGACAGCAATATTCTGCTAAACAAAATTAACATTTCATAATAAACAAAATAGAAACTCCATCAAATAAGAATACTATATTGGGATGAGAAAATGGACTGCAGTAAGGTCAGGATCACCATGGCCTGCCTGACTGAACAGAGGAGGAACAGATATAAGAGTGTAACCCTTCCATTTCAAAGCTGGGGTTTAGATACAACAAAAAGATAGTTGAATAGAAACAAAATTTAGTGTAGGAACCTCAATCCTTCTTGTCCACAGGTGACTTCACAGGCTGTGTTACTATAGTTCTCAAGTATCAGGAGAGGCTAAAGTGCAAATCAGTGGTTTGTGCCTGACCTACCGAAAACTAAGCATTCAAAAAGACAATTTCATTTATGATGTTTTGCTATAAATATGTACATGACTCTACCCAATAAAGTTGCAGGCAGCTGAAACTGCCATAGAAGTCCTAAGAATACATAGAGGAATAGTTTTCTTCCATTACACCTGTATGACTTGGAAACTGAATGTCTTTAAAAACATCAATGACACAATAAAGGTTACAGAACAAAACTGCACTACAATGGATGTACCTAGCAATTAGAGCATGCACCTAGCAATCAGATAATGAGTAAAAGAGTAGTCTGAGAGAGCTGGGACTCTAGGCTGGAAAGGAAAAAGCTTGGAGGCAGGGGGACGTGGATGTTATCAAATGTGATAAAAGTATCTATTGCTACATTGATGAAGAAAAGGAAGCCAGACTCTTCTCAGTGGTGCTCAGTGATAAGACATGTTTCAATGGGCAGAGGTTAACACACCTGAAATTCCATTTGAAAGCAATAAAAAAGTCTTTTTCACTCTGAAGTTGATCAAACACTGGAACAGGTGGTCTAGAGTGATTCTGGAGTTTCCTTGAAGATATTCCAAACCTGTCTGGGCATTTCCCTGGCCGGTTTGTTCTAGGTGACTTTATATGAGTAGAGAGGTTGGACCAGATCATAGAATCATAGAATATGCTGATTTGGAAGGAACCAATCATGATCATTGAGTTCAACCCCTGGTCCTGTACAGCACCATCCTGAAGAGTCACACCATGTGCCTGAGAGCATTGTCCAAATGTTTCTTGAACTTTATCAGGCTGGTGCTGCAACCAACTTGGAGCCTGTTCCAGTGCAGCAACCCTCTGGGTGAAGAACATTTTAATAACCAACATAAACCTCCCTTGACACAGCTTCAGGTAATTTTCTCGAGTTCTGTCACTGGGCACCACAGAGAGGAGATCAGTGTCTGCCCCTCCTCTTCCCCTCACAAGTTGTAATTGCAATGAAGTCTCCCCTCAGTCTCCCTTTCTCCAGGCTGAACAGACCAATTGACCTCAGTGACTCCTCATACAGCTTCCCCTCAAGGCCCTTCACCATCCTCATGGCCATCCTTTGAGCACTCTGTAATAATTTAATGTCTTTTTTATATGGCTGCACCCTAAACTGTACACAATATTCAAGGTGAGGCTGCCCCAGTGCAGATCAAAGGGGACAATCCCCTCCCTTGCCTGGCTGGTGATGCTCTGCCTGATGCACCCCAGGACAGTGTTGGCCTTCCTGGCTGCCAGGGCACTGCTAACTCTTATTTAGTTTTCCATCAACAATGACCTCAAGGAGATTCCACCCTAAACCACTTGTGTGACCCTGTCTCAGTTTGAAATGGAGTGAGAAAGCAGTTAAGCTGTGTGCACAATCAGGAGTTTCACAAGGCCCTCGGTGCTTGAGGCGCTTTCTTTGCCATAGCAGCGTAGATGAAACAGCCGCTCTCCATAGTCCCGGAAGGAAGGACATGGAGTGAGCTAGTTGCCCAGAAAAACAACTAAAGGCAACAGCTCCAAGTCCAGACATGACATAACTTGAACTAATGCAATTACAACTGCCTGGCACATGGCACATCAGGACACATCTAAATGGCAGATGGATGTTTGCCATAAAGTTTTCTGCTCATGCCATGGGACCTGCTGGAACTTGATCTCTATATTTGAATGTTTTATAAAGTTACCTGCAGTAACTTTATCACTCCTTTGGTAAGTTTCCCTTGCAAGACCTGGTGATGTGAAAGGTCACCTTCTTTTTAATTATGGCTGCTACTTTTCTTTCTACCACAAAGCTGGTATGAGGATAAAGCCATGATAGGCAAAGGATGTGTGCTGCAGAAATATTGGGTCACCCCTGCACATTCAGAAGAGTCCATGAGTGATTAAGTCCTTCCCTTTACTCCATTTATCCACACATCTTCCATCTAGATTTCCCAATAAAAGATGATAGAAATCCTCTATTAACCTGGCTATTTGGTTTGTACTTCCTACCCATCCAGCAAATGTGTGCAAAATCCAAAACCACACATACCACAGACTATCTCTTCTTCCAGAGGGATATATAGAAAGGGAAACTAGGTAATTTACAAATTTGTTGAATAATCAATTATAATTACTAGTTATTGTTATTTTTGTATTTCATTAGGAATAACAGCTATGAGGGAGAAGGAATGTAGTAAATGTATTTATAACACAGTAGATTCATTTCCACTGCTAGTGGAACAACTTAAAAACCCTTTTCAAGCAGGAGTGACCAATTCCATTTCAAAGAGCTTAAATTGTTCATTATTCTCCATCTAGTGACTCAGAATTTTATTGATCTGTCAGTACACTGTGCCATTTAAACATAACCTATTCTTCAACTAAATGGCCAGTTAAAGCTTTCATACTCACTGAATTTTTTTTAATAGGAGCTGAATTGGAAATTCCCAGTCTTCTTCCTGTGACCAGAGAAACCACAAGCACTTCTTTTTTCCTTTTCTTTCCTCAGATCACAGTTTTCAGTGCTCTTAGAAGAAAATCACTACTATCTTGATGAAAACATGAGATTATACCTCATATTTTGCTAGTCAAGGGCTCACACTGTAAAGCTATTACACTGAACAAGTTTAGAACACTTATAAAAATGGAAATAGACTTTAACTTTATTAGCCCATGCTGTTTGCAAGAAGAAAATTATTCTGATGTTTCAAAGAGACTGGGAGTGGAAAGAGTGGGGAAAAGTCAAGACAATCTTTTACACGAGATTTAGTTTGATTTTTCTTTCCAGAATGAAATAATGGAAACTGAGGCTTTTTTCTGAAGGAAGATTTTCTGCAATTAAGTTGGATGAAACAATCCTTATAAGAAAAATAAAAAAAAAAAAAAAAAAAAAACCCAAAAAAAAACAAAAACAAAAATAAAAAAAAACAAAAAAACAAAAAGGGAATTAAACCTCCAAAATGTAGAGAATAGTATTTTAGAAAGTTTTACTGAATTGCACAATCTAAACCCATCAGCATCAGATTTAATCAGCACTATTACTATTTATTGTTTCAGCTATCATAACAAGGGACAAAAAATGCTTGAGATATTTTAGAGAGCAAGCACAACTAGGCAGTTATTAACCAAGTTGTGTCTAAAATTGAGCTGAAAATAAATATGCTTATATATGCTTATAAAGAAAATTCCATGTTGAAGCTGTTAGTGTATAGCGTGTAGACTTTAGTACCAAGTGTAGTAACCGATCTGTAACAGAAGAAACAATGAGTATGTATATTTTTAGAGCTATAGGAATGTTTTTAATTCAATCTGACTAGACGATATCAGAAATACTCTCAGACAGGATGTTTTCCAAGTTATTTATAAGCCCATGTGTTGATGACTTATTTTAGTCAAGTAGGTGAGATGCTATAATTCAGGGAAAAACAAATGAAATATTTAGTGCGTCTTGCACCAACTAATCCAAGTGAAAAATGATAAAAGGAACAGTCAGGGATTTCAAAATTTGAGGTGAGACTAGAGTTTATGTGAACAGTAAATATCTTGAAAGGGAAATTCTAGATGTTCAATTCTGGTTATTTGTATTAAACAATAAAAATATTTTAATTGTGGATTTGTCTTTCTGATTAAATTAAGGTTTAGACTGTAGATCAAAATCCAGTGCAATGCAAGAGTACCCAGTGAGTGCAGTTATCAGAGAATCAGTCTTCTTACTGTTGAATTTCAAAGAATTTTGCAAAGCAAATGTACCTTCCAGGTAATATTTTCTATTTCTCTGCTCACACTTTAGAGATGTAAGTCTAAGCACTCATATTTAGGGTAGGAGTTCAAAGTACTGTTTTGATGGGCTAGAAATTACTTTTTCAGCTTTTTGTGGCATGTATTCAAGAAGAAAATATCCATGTAGTGTAGGAGGAATATAAAGAGTTATGATAAAGACCAGTGAAGTACATAGTGCACGCTTTATATTAATGCCCAATTTTATGCAAGAAACAGAGTTTTGACAGTGGACAATAAAGCTTATGAAACCATTAATGTGAATTAATGCTGAAACTTATGTATATAAAACAAACCATTCCTAGCACAGGTTCAGAAATTACCTTCCACAACAGTTCAGTTTCTTGTACAATAGAAGTTTGAGAGAAGCAGCCACTTTGTACTTGGGACATAGCTGCAATCACGAACAGGTCAAACAAAACATAAAATCTGTTTGCAGAAACTTACGGAACTTAACCAAGAATCTTGTAATTTAGTACTGTTTGGTTTAGAAGAGAAAGAGTATTGCCTAACTCGAGAAATATGGAAGTTGAAGAGAATATACTTCAATTTTCTTCCTAGCTTGTGGCTACCCAACTTTCTCTGAGAAGTTACTGTCAAATAAATATTGATAGCTCTCCAAGAAACTCCAAATTTACTGCACATTTAACTTCTGAACAAGATAATGGGATGGTTGGAACTGGAGGAATGGATAGACCACAGTCTGTGTCAAGTGACAGAGCACAGTAGCTTTCACTGTATCAAATGGTCTGCCCCAAAATCATGTTTTGGGATGTATTGGGGAAATCAGTAGCAGGTAGCTGACCTATGCCATAGTATTTCTCATGGAGAGGGAAGCTCTAGGGTCCTGTAGACCCCAAGGACAGGGTGACATGAGGCAAGGGGTGGCAGAGGAGCTAATGGAATTCTGAAGGACCTTACCTTTCCTCATCCTCACCCCAGACACAACTGCATCAGAAATAGTGTTTATAAATTTCTTATGGAGAGTCCAATGTAGCAAGTGCATTTCTTTGTTCACAGAAAAGAGAAAACTAGGTAAAGAACTTTAGTACTGTGCTTTGCGTGTGAGTGTGTGTGTATATATATATATATATATATATATTTGTTGATGTCTAAGGTTTGCAATACATGAACTGTTAACATATAAAGTCACTGCCAAGGAATATTTTTACTGTCAATTGAATTTGGCAAATCTGTATTCTGCCTTCATCTGTTACTATTTGCTTTTTATTTTCTTCACCTGCTAGAGAATTAGTGATTTGGGTCTGTTATGAAAGCGCCAGTTATAATTTTGACCATCTTCATGTGCTTCAGTCCTGTGGGATGACTTTTCTCTAGTTAAGCTTCTGTGTTTATTCACTGAGGTCAAAGAAGTTCCAGTCATATTCACATCCCAGTGTTCATTAACAGTCAAATATTTGTATTTAGGCCTTAAGGCTGGAAGGCGATGGACACCTGCTTTTTGAGACAGAGTTCCAATGTTTACCCAGGAAATGAAAATAAAATGCAAAGTTTTATGGGGGGAAGAGGTAATATGTTTTGTTTGTCTCCACAAGCAGCTCAAACAGGTTAATCTAACTGCTGTTGTTTGGCAAAAATGGGAAGATCAATTCCTACAGTTCCTTTGCCATTATTGCAGTTTCATGAATGTGTTGTCATTGCAGTTTTATGAATGTGTTGTCATTTAAGGAGTTTATTCTTTTTACCTACAGACAAATATATCACACTCTTACGTGTGAATGATTTATTTGGTTTGGGATAAGAATATATGCACAATTATTTTCCCAAAGACAGTATTGACTACAATAAATTCTGTGGAAGAAGTGTTGAATTTAGGAGAATTTTAACTTTGATTGACACTTGTCTCTTTTTTAAAAATTTATTTATTCAGTTTTCTTGTGAATATCAAAATTTATATTTACATTTTTTATATTTTGCAAATAAATGCAAAAATGCCTACTCCTTCAGGCAAATCTTAGATGGTAGGAGATGATCTAAGTGTTCTCTCTGTGAAGTTTTCTCTACTCAAACACCTACTGCTATAAAACCTGAGAACAAAATTTTCCATTAAAAGGCAATAAAATTGTCTAGACCGTCCTAGATCATACTGGAAGTCCTTGAATTCTCATCTTTGATGTCCAATTGAAAATAGGAATAAAGCACAATATTTCAATTTTTTAAAAATGGAAGTGTGAGCTATTTCTGTGCTTTACTGCTTACCAGTTTAGCTGTCATTGATTCTTTATTGTGGCTGATTTGCTGTCATGTTCTATTTGAAGTCACCTGCAGTCCTAAGAAGCTGCCAGACACTGCTAAAAAGCACAAAAAGTCTTTGCACACATTTTGTCCTATTGTTTTGAAAAGCTTTCCCTTTAAGAATATGCTTTAGGTAAGATTTTTTAAGACATGTAATTGAATAATAATTAGAAATTGATAGTGCCACCAATCATTTCTGTCATTTGTCAAATTAATCATCAATAACTTTCCATGTTGGTTTGTCACATTTCAATGACTGAGCAGTTTTGAGCCAGAAAGTCATTCTAAAACATTATTGTTTTTCTTTTTGTCCAAGTGCAAGGAACTGAATAAGGAATGGATTTCCAGAGGCAGACCAGACATGGCACTGAGCTGATCTCCCTCCTTCTGGGGCCATGCTTGCAAGGCTGTGTTGTGCACACCCAGGCACAGAGTGCAAGAGTCAGAAGGATGTTTACTTCCACTTACCTGGTGGCTACCTATGAGCTATTTCTCAATATCTGTCTGGAAGCAAACGCACCTTTTTATGAAGTCTTTGTCACCTCACTCTGGATTTACACTCAGTCTCCATGGAGCCTGAGAGGCAAACGGATGTGAGCAGTCTTGACCAACAGCTGAGTTAAACAAAGAAGATGCCAAAGCAGGAAGACAGAATTCCTCCATGCACACTGTGAGCAGCTGAGGAGAGGAGGGAAGGGAAGGGAAGGGAAGGGAAGGGAAGGGAAGGGAAGGGAAGGGAAGGGAAGGGAAGGGAAGGGAAGGGAAGGGAAGGGAAGGGAAGGGAAGGGAAGGGAAGGGAAGGGAAGGGAAGGGAAGGGAAGGGAAGGGAAGGGAAGGGAAGGGAAGGGAAGGGAAGGGAAGGGAAGGGAAGGGAAGGGAAGGGAAGGGAAGGGAAGGGAAGGGAAGGGAAGGGAAGGGAAGGGAAGGGAAGGGAAGGGAAGGGAAGGGAAGGGAAGGGAAGGGAAGGGAAGGGAAGGGAAGGGAAGGGAAGGGAAGGGAAGGGAAGGGAAGGGAAGGGAAGGGAAGGGAAGGGAAGGGAAGGGAAGGGAAGGGAAGGAAGGGAAGGGAAGGGAAGGGAAGGGAAGGGAAGGAAGGGAAGGGAAGGGAAGGGAAGGGAAGGGAAGGGAAGGGAAGGGAAGGGAAGGGAAGGGAAGGGAAGGGAAGGGAAGGGAAGGGAAGGGAAGGGAAGGGAAGGGAAGGGAAGGGAAGGGAAGGGAAGGGAAGGGAAGGGAAGGGAAGGGAAGGGAAGGGAAGGGAAGGGAAGGGAAGGGATAACATTTTCTTTTCAGGAGCTTTCTTCAGTACAATTTCTGTCTAACTTAGTAAAAAATTGAGAAAAAAAAAAGAGAAATAATAGACACTTACAGTCCTGATTCCCAAGTCAGTTTTGGTTGTTTATCCACTGATAATCTAATAGAAAGAAGATGCACACTGCAGTTAGCTGAGTCCAGCTGGGTTCCACTAAAAGCTCTAAGGGCTCCACAGGCTGTTTGGATGAAAGATGCTAAAGAGGATTTCTGTTCTGTTGTAAATTTTCTGTCAGTGTGCTAACCACCCAGCATCTCCCTCCTTCTGTCAGCATGTGAGACACTGTGCTAACCAGCAGCACATGGGCATTGTCATTGTGTCAAACGAAAGTAATCAGTGGTTTGATGAAATCCCATTTTTCATTTTCTTCTCCAAGGGGCTTGGGCAGTGTTTAAGTGCCTGTCATCCTCATCTTGGATCCCAAACTGTTTTAGATGACAGACAGACACTCATTTCCTAGCAACAGCAATCTGAGTGTTCAAAGGTGAATGAAAAGAGGAGACTGACAATTTCAAAGATGTAGTAAAGTTTAATGGCTTAGTTAATTTTAGATGTCTACAAGATTAAGCA